CATTTTTGAACTTTTATATCAGTCGCCAATGGATGAAATGACTAGGACTTATTAACTAGGAATACACTACTTGCTCTACAAACAAGTGTGTTCATGATAATACATAATACATAAAAGTAGCTGTTTTTAACATCTAAAAGTCAATAGAAGTGAATGAGACATGGAGCCAAAAAGATTCCAAAGGCTGCGCCCGCTCGTACATGAAGAATGAGGTCAAAAGGCAGGGGTGCACATAACTTTTTTGCTCTGGTTTTCTCTCAGTTCAAGAAACCCCCATAAATGTGCATTGGTATGTTAAAGAAACGTGTTCAACATCTGGTAAAGCGGAAAGACAAATTCAACTCATCACAGACAGGCGCCAGACACACACACGTGTACGTTCAATCATTAAAAGTAAAAACATATTTCTGAAAAGGTAATAACAGCTTTTACAGTAAAGGTCAAGTTGAAAGACATTTCAGGCTACAAAGAGACTCTTACAGAAGCAGTGAAAACATCCACTTGAAGAGAATAAATCAGTGCAGACACAGCAATACTTAGACAGGCTGCGTGCTTTGAGTTGAGCATCAAATCAATGTCTTCATTCACTCATGAGCAATTAACAACAAGTGTAGCTCAACCCCGTTCATTAGAGCAGCTCAGGGGGTCCATTTGACGTGTAAGTACAGTATGCACGTGTGTGTATGTGTCCAAATTCATCCATTACGCTGGTAAAGTGGCGGAAAAATCCTAGCAAGTGAAGCATGTTGAGTTAGTGACAGAACTCTAGAGCGCATAATTTCCTTTCCATGTTGTCAACCCTCTGAGCTGCACATCAGGAAACACACGGCCGACCAATGTGAACTGCAATTACTGCTAATAAAACGCGACAGATCGCAACTGAACACCTGGCTGAGGACTTGTGAATGTGAAGATGTGCCGTACAAGTGCAGATGATAAAGTGAAGAAAACATTCATTTGCTGCCTCAGCAGTTTTATGAGTCAGACTGAATCTGCATGCTGTCTCTCAGCACTTATTTTGAAGGGAAACTGTGGAATTCAAATGACATAATAGAAGAAGTCGCAAAGTAATGGAAGAGGTAGCAACTCTTAATTTCCATATTATGATGTGTACAAGGGCTGCACAATTCATCGACTCAGCATCGATATAGCATTGTGCAAATCTGCAATAGTCACATCTTCTTCATTGAAGTTTTGCAAAGTTTAAAGGTGAAACCCAGGGGTTGAACTAGGTTTTGCAAACCTGCTTCAAAACACACACAAGTGCAGGTTGTCAGATTGACTAAAAGAAGCAAGTCTGATGATCTGATGAACAAGTCGTGTTTCAAATAAAAGCAATGGCACGCGATAGAAGGAATATTTTTCACAACAAAAGGAGTTTTATCCTAACCAACACCTGAAATTTATGAACAAATGGATAAACTGACAGGATAAACTGAAATTACCCCCTCAGGTATCCCTCATGTGGTTCATTCAATGTTAAATGCTAGTAATGTGAGTTTGAATGTCATTTTACATGACATGTATTGCCATACTACTGAAAGCAGCAGCAGATAGTTTACCTCTGATCTTAAAAATAAAATAAACCGTTTGAAATTGCAATTCAAAAGTGAGACTCAGTGCAAGCCAACACATCAGTGATTCAGCATCTACATTTAATAAAGTTAAAGAGGTTTAAAATGTATTCATTCGATTGTAAACTTTACCATTTGGTTGAAGTGCAGCAAGTGCACTATTCTGTGCTTCTGTTTTGTAATATTTATATTATTTTCTAATTAATAACCACTTCATGTGGAACTCTGAATCTGCATCTCATTTCGGAATCTGCTACTGTCCACCGGAGGTCACATTTCCGTTATGGACACATACTTTGAGAGCCTTCCTGACTAAATGAATCAAATACAATGTTTTCAGCAAAACAACCTGGGGTTCTGAAATATAATTGGCTAAACTGGCGGTGGTTAAATTACCAAAACAAAGACAACGTTCTGGCACGTAACAGACATTTTCAAAACAGAATATCTAAATCCAGCATTGTTTTTTTTACATTAACAAGAATGTTCACTTGGCATGTTTCTAAAATATCTGCAAACATATTATGGTATTTTTATGATTTAGAAGTGTCAAAACGTACATACAACACCTTTAACTAAAATAGAGTGAAAGACTTTCATCTGTACTAAAAAAAAACACTTTTAACCAAATAAAAAGTTACTGTCATTTGTTACAGCTAAAATCTTTAGTTTTTTCAAAAAAGTATAATTTTTGGAATAATCTTTTGTTCAAACTTTAAAATTGAATCGTATCTAAATTAAAAATATTTATTGTGTGCCAAGAAAAAAAAATTACATTCACACAATGTAAAAATATTGTTTACTATAAAGACACTCTTTTTTATTTATTTTTTTACTTTGGTGCAAGTAGATGTTTATCGAGGAAAACATTTTTTTTCCAGTTTTAACCTTTGAACTAACCCATAAAAGGACTGTAATTTGTTACCGATAAATTTCTAAATTTCCCTCAAATGACAGTTTTGACTTTAATATTATAAAAATATTTATTCTGCCCAAGGGAAAAAAATTACATTGACTCAAAGGTAAAATATTGTTTTTATAGACCATGAATTAATTGAATTACTTTGGTTCAACTCTAAATCTAAATCCAAGTAAAACTAGAAACCTTTTATTTTTTCTATTAATTAATGATTTCAACAAAGAAATCTATTCCATACAGCTATTTTCTTTATAACTCAACAGGTGTAGATTCTGTGATGAAATATATATTAGTCTAACTTTATTAAGTTTATTAACCAAACTATTTTCACCTCCATCTTGTATTTCCTCTTTACCTCTTTGAAATATACATACTAATTCATTCATTACACACACACCGTTTTCTGCAGCTCCTGAATATTGTATGCTCTCTCTCTCTCTCTGACTTTCATGTTTCAGCATTGTGTGCATCATTTATACCAGACCAATTAACATCCCCCCTTAAACCTTGTGCCGCTTCAGCAAAGGCTGAGCCTCATTTGATATTCTCTTTCATTTCTGCTGCTGGATCACACACACCTATCAATGGACACTCACTACATCCCTCTCCAACCAAAGTCAGCTCATAAACAACTTAGAGACTCTGAAAAGTCTGCTGCAATCCTTGCTTAAAATAGCAGGATTCAGGAACATCCTATGGAGTTGGTTTAAGCTGTATCAGCAACTTTTATTTTAAAGAGAACAAAAAAAAAAATCTCAGTGTGTCTCAGTGGTTAGTCTGTGTGGAGTTAGCATGTTCTCCCTTACGGGGATCCTCCGGGTGCTTCAGTTAACCCCACACTCCAAAGACATGCACTATAGGTGAATTGGATTAACTAAAATTGGCCATGTGTGTGAATGTGAGTGTATGTGGGTGTTTCCCAGTACTGGGTTGCGGCTGTAAAGACATCCGCTGCGTAAAATGCATATGCCTGATAAATAACCCTGCAGGCTCAGGGCGTCAACATGACTTCATTGTACCCTAACGTCGTGGGGATGTTGCATTTTGTTTGGAAATGAAATTCGGGTTGACATCAGAACCCATCATCAGGCCAACATCAATGTCCAATGTACAACCTAAAATCAACCAAATATCAACGTCTAATCATGTTGCACCCTGACGTTGTGCGGACGTTACCACTATGACATCTATCAGACTTTGGATTTTGGTCACATTCCAACACAACCTAAAATAAACCAAATATTAATGTAATTTGACGTCGTTATTGGACGATAAAATAACATTGTCCTTAGACTCTGGCTAGACATTGAATTTTGATCACCTGACATCATGACCTAAATCTTACCTTATATTAAATCCTTATGATGTTGTGTGTCTGATGGGAACGGACTACGCCAAAGGAAAATGATTGAATGAATGAAAAAAAAAATATCTTAACAACTTTTATGCCAAAACAAATATTAAAATTACATATGAGGAAAGTAATTGTGCGAAGAATTGATGCAATATTTTCTGGAACACACCATTATTATGATTCATTAATGTTTCCTTTTTTTGGAAAGAAGTTACTTCTGCTCACTGCATCTATTTTTTAATGAATATTATTGAAAATAAATTAAAACTTACATTTTTAAAATGTTATTTCAACTTAAAATAGCTGCTTTCTGCGTCAATTTATTTCAAAATTAATTAAACCTGTGATTCAACTTTGAATTTACAGCATATTTTAGTCATTAGTTACACGATTTGGTTTAGAAAAAATTGTAATATGCAGATTTGCTGCTCTATAATGATCAACCATTACTGGTTCTCAACCAATAAAAATGGTTCTTGTTAATATAAATGTTGAAAAATAATCTGCTTCATTTCTTTGTATTGCTTTCTAGAATTCTTGAAAATAAAACAACAGAATTTACTTTCACCTTTGATCAATTTAACGTGTCCTCGTGATTTAATTTCAGGAGTCCTTGATAAATGAAAATATTCATTCAAACAAAAAACAATCAAACATTTATGAGATGAAATGTTTCTTGAGCACGAAATATAAAATAAAAATAACTTCTGAACAATCATGTGATAATAAAGACTAGAGTAAGTATGCTGAAAATCCAGATTTAAATCACAAGAATAAATAGCATTTTAGTATATATTAAAAGATAAAACAAATATCAAGGCTGTGCGATTTTGGAAAAATCTGATATTGCAGTATTTTGCTTATATAATAGTAATTTTGCAATATAAATATAATTTCACCAGACAATTTTAATAGCTCTATTTGAGAAGATTAGTTAATATTTATGAACTGGGAAAAACATGCAAACTCCACACAGAAATACCAACTGACCCAGCCGGGATGGGACACAAACCAGCAACCTTCATCTTGTGAGGCGACAGTGCTAACCACTAAGCCACCAAGCCACCCTGTGTTTAAGTTCAGAAGTTGGAATATTATAGTACATTTTGACCTCCAAAATAAAATAAAAAAAAATGGTAAAAAAAAAACTTACCTGGTCCCAGTCTATGCTTCTGAAGAATGTATGAGACTTGATGTCTGTGAATCCGGTTTGAACTTGGCATCCCAGCCTCTCTTTCGGATCCTGAAATAAACACACACACACAGTATTAGCAACATATCAGACGAAAAACAAATCTGGTCACCCTCAACAACCCCACAACCTCATTTGATGAAAGACTGAAGTTTAACCCAAAACAATTAGCAAATCTAGTGAACTTTATCCTGACATTATCTGAAGATTCAGGGCTCTGGGAGCGACTCGCTGTGCTGATCTACGCTCATTTAATCCCCATGAATCAGGCAGCAATGGCTAAGAGCCCTGATAACACTGATTACAGGCTGCTGGTGAGTTTGAGGAACCCCAGAGCTTCAATAAACGCAATTTGTCTTGACGATTAAAGGAAAACGCTTCATTATTCACAGATTTAATCAAGCCGACACGCACACAGAAGCATCGGGAGCCTCGAGAGCTGATCTTCATCATGATGACCCTCCTTATTTTAGCACATACATTAGTTCAATCAGAGGCAGACTGTGTGCGTGCATGTTTGTGTAGAGTTAAAACCCTCAGTGTGCAATGCGCATGAATTATTATGACGATTTTTTTCCTCCCTCAGAGCCTATTTGTTTCTCATTTGTCTCTTCTGGTGTAATGGAGCACAACAGTGATCAAGTTTTAAGTGGAAAGAGAATAAACTAGTCATTACCCAAAGAATTATGTGTGATGTAATTTAATCAGTCTAAGTTTGAACTACTTTCTTGGATTTTTTTAATTAACACTTTCTTCCACAGATTATATATACTTCAGCTTTTATTTTTACATCAAAAACAATTGTATAGGAATATTTAACAGTCTATATGATGTAAATTGTAATTGCATGTAAATAATATAAAATATGTCATATATATTGTAATTAAATAACAAAATAAAAATAATAACTTGACTTTTAGTTGATCATTTGGTATCAAAAGTGGCTTATATGAAAGGCAAAGGCCTCTAGATTATGCTTATTTTACCAAAATAAAATATGATCATGCCTTGATTTTTAATTATTTAATTAGGACAATAAGGTCTGACTTTGCTTAGATAAAAGTCTTGTCACTTAACAGAAATAATGTACAGTATAGAATATAAAGTCATGCTGCAGTGGAAAAAGAATTAATACTGTGTATGACTCCCATGAGCTTGGAGGACTGCATCCATACATCTCTGCAATGACTCAAAACTTATTAATAAAGTCATCTGAAATGGCAAAGAAAGCGTTCTTGAAGGACTCTTAGAGTACATCACGATTCTTTGGATTCATCTTTAATGCCTTCTCCTTCATCTTACCCCAGGCATGCTCAATAATGTTTATGTCTGGAGACTGGGCTGCCCAATCCTGGAGCACCTTCACCTTCTTTGCTTTGAGGAGCTTGCATGTGGAGGCTGAAGTATGAGAAGGAGCGCTATCCTGCTGAAGAATTTGCTCTCTCCTGTGGTTTGTAGTGTATTGTAGATGTTGCCATCCATTCTCGCAGGCCCCCATTCTGAATGTAACCCGAAACCATGATTTTTCCTTCACCAAACATGACTGATTTCTGTGAGAATCTTGTATCCATGTGGGTTCCAATAGGTCTTTTGCAGTATCTGTGATTACTGGGATGCAGTTCAACAGATGATTTATCAGACAAATCTACCTTCTGCCACTTTTGCAAAAGATCAACTGGAAGTTTTTATTTGTTGCTCTTACAGCTGGGATCCAGACAAGACTTTTGTCAGGTAGTGTACATATTACATGCTATACATAAGCATGTCATTTCACATTAGATTTTTTCACAGCTATAAATACATTTTATTATATATGTATGTGTGTATTGTAAAATGTTATTATTTTTGGTGAAATTATTAATATTAATATGATATTTGTAAATGAAATTGAATTTATGGAAACAATATTTCTAAAGATATACAGCGTTGCAGCATTTTTTATCAAATATATTTGCTCAAATACAAATGTTCAGTAAATTGCTTGAATCAAATTAACATTTTTTTAATAAAAACAATTACCGTTAAGCATTTAAAGGTTCAAGAAACCTTTGAGTACTTTTTCTGAAATTTTAAAATTGTGTGTTGAGCGTCACTTACGGCAATGTAAGCATTTGTCAGCTTTAATTGTGGGAAAAACTAGATCATTTTGAGCTTTTGTCAGCTAATTTCATCTTCCGGGTTTAAAGGCATTTTTGGGATGTTGTGAAAATCGGTGACATAGCACCGATATGCCTGTTCAGCGATGACGTATGGGTTTTTCATTGTTATTCATAGCTGAGTTTTCTTATCCTATGAGAAGACCCTGCTTCTTAATTATTAATGAGAGCAGGTGCTTTCCGAAGGCAAGGCAGACCTTGCGCACAGCACGCAGTATCCTATTTAGGAGTTCATAAAAGGTTGTGTGTGTTTGTTTCCATGAACCACAGGGTTTGTTGCATGTCTTTCCCTGCGATGCTGTCAGGGCAGATACAGCAAAGCTGTTGGTTTGCAGCAAGCTTTTTTGCAGCAAGATCTGTACAAGAATTGGAGAATGGCGGACTTTGTCTTTTATCAGTTGAGTTCTTTACCATTCTGCCAATATTCGTGCTGCTGTGTTCGGCATATGTTTAAAGTCCTCCGGATTACTGGAAGGGCTAATGGTTGAAATAGATAGGGGGGGAGACCTGCTGCACTGCTATGTCAGACCCAAGGAATGAGCAGGAGAGTTCTCCTCTTTTATAGTGTTTACATGATTATCTTTATAATGATAGAACAAATTGTGGTTATGTGTATATGAAATTATGAAATATGAATTATGAAATTATGAATTATATGAATTATGAAAAACATATGTAGCAGGGCAATAAATTACTGTTTTTTATCTGCAATTTAGCTTTGTAAACTATAAAATCATGGGTCTCCTCACGGTTTATGTTTCAGTTTTTGAGCCAACTGACAGTTGTTCCCTCCCCTCTTTTTCCCCTGCTCTGCTGGCCACGCCCACTCCTCCCTCTGCTCACAGCGCTCCACCACACCCATTATGAAGCATTTTTGAAAAAATTCTGATGTAGACTTGAACTAAAAGAGGGGGGTTTCATGACCCTTTAACTAACTGAAAACATTGCAATTATTTGAAAATATCAATTGCTAACATAAATTTTAATTACTGTTACTCTACAAAACGACACCGCTCTAAATATTTCTAAGATACACTTCTCTGATTGGTGTGTCTCATTTTAGGAATGCTGATAGTGGAATTTCAATAAATTCTTCACATAAACAGAGTTTTTGAAAAAAAAAATAAAAATAAATAAAAAATACGATAGAACCGTGACCCTGAAGTTCATGGTAAGACAGCTTTGAAATATCTGTACAGATTCCTTTTATCCAAGCACTTTCAATACATTCAAGGTATTGTAAAACCTTCAACTGTTACAAGCTGAAATACAAGTCTGCATCTATACAATAACACCAGTATAGCTGTGCTGAATGGCATTACTATGTCTAAACTCTTACATTTTGTGTGTGTGTGTGTGTGTGTGTGTGTGTGCTTGTTTGCATTCAAGTCCACCCAAGTTCTCACCTTGTTCAGAAAACCTTTCAGCACACTTGCAGCCTTAACAGACAATGACCTGGGAATCCGAATCGGCTTCTCCAAAATGACTGAAAAAAATAAAAAAACAGGAGATAAAAGAGTGTGAGTCATTCTTGCAGAGTCGTGTTCGACAGAGACAGGCTTTAACCCACACACACACACACACACACACACACACAATCTCTCGCTCAAACACCCACACACTACAGACGCCTGAATAAACCCTTCACCGCTCAATCAAAAGATTCCTCCGCGCTCCGTGTTTATTTCTGTAAATTCATAACATTCCGTTGCGTGTTAAGTGGATTTAAAACACCCCACAGAATGTGAAGAATGTGTCTTTTTAATACGTCTCATCCCTGCTTTTTTTTGGATTTCTTTAACAGTTGTGTATTTCGGGCCGTCGTCCAGAAGTAAAGCCTGTTCAGTTTCATCTCCTCTGAAAGACAGAGCGCAGACGAGCGTTTATCTTTCCCTCTCTGAAGCCCGCATCCCCTGTTTGTTTTCTTTTCCGAGTGAAATGCTAAAGGGATTTGGGTCTTGCCCTGCTGCTGTGACGCGGTTTGGACGGCGGCCCGGAAGCGGCTGAAGTGTTGGCGCGGTGGTGCCAGCATCTGCCCTGCTCTTGGGTGGGCGACGGAGTGCCGGTGTTCGGGCCGAGGGGAGGCTGGAGTGGGACATATGGCCGAACTGAGGTTTGGATGGAGGGGGATGTAGTTCCGGTGGTGGAGAGAGCTCCAGGTTGGCATGTGTGTGTGTCTGTATGAATGAGAGTGGTCCAGGATCACGCTGGCCTCTCGGCTGGAGCAGCACAGAACAGACAGAGAAGCAGATGAACACACAGGCTCTGCTCTGGATGGAGGAGGAGAGGTGACGAAACGGAGGACCAAAGAATGCCTCATGAAGGAATGACACAAATGCCAGGATGGATGAACAAGCGACACGCAAATGTTCTGTTGGTATAGAAAACCATGGGAAAAATTAAAAGGCCACTGGAAAAATCTCTCAGGATTGAAGATGTGTATTTTGCATTTTTAAATGAAATATTATTAAAAAATAATAATAAGAAGTATTTGTTTCAAGTTTCAAATCCAAAACTGGTCAAAATAAAAGATTATATTCCTTATTTGTAGACAGCACAATACTAAAGTTTTAACTTTAGAAGAGTCAGTGTTTGGTGGGTACTAAACCCTGATTGGTGGGTACTAAATCCTGATTTTCAGTCACTACTAATGAACAGATTTGGTTTTTGGCAATGTTTTGGCAATATTTTATTTGAAATTAGGAATAAATGCCGTCAGACTTTTGTAGAATTAACAAATATTGCCATTACTAATAAATTTAGAAAATCCAGAAAAACTGAGAATTTTCAAGTGGTCTTTCAACTTCTCAATAGCTGTTTATGTACTGTATTTTCTGGAATACTAGTAAAAAAAATCATTGATTAAGCTGTGGCTTATAATAGAAAGCAACCTATATAATGTAATTAGCATCAATAAAAAAACAAAACAAACACAGAGACTGTCAGGTACTTATATGGCGAATGCCCCCTAAGCCACTAGTTTCAGTTTTGCTCTTTATAAATTAGTTCAGGTTTAAAGTCCCTAATAAATCAAAACTAACCATATGATTTTGTTAGCTTACATTGCCAGTTTTGTGGTAAACAATTCATCTGTGCATCTCATTGAGAAAAAAATAGTTAGCCCTTCTTTAGTTGAAATATGAAAATGCACTTCCTGTTTGCTTTTAGTTAAGTTATCAGATTACATGATTTTGAGATAATGGGAATGGCTAACACTGCTCCAACTGTCAGTTTTGACAAAAAACAGGAATAGTGAGCAGGAGGTGTTTGTTAGGTTGTAATAGCTCTTCCAAAACCCCTTTCACGATCTTTCTGAATGAAATGCCAACTTTACAACGTCCATTCAGCCTGCAGTAGAAAAAAACAAGCCACACTTACGCCCAAGCCTTCTCCATCTGCAGGTAAGAGGGAAAGAGGCGTGTGGAAAGGGCGACGCAGTGGCGCAGTAGGTAGTGCTATCGCCTCACAGCAAGAAGGTCGCTGGTTCGAACCTTGGCTCTGTTGGCGTTTCTGTGTGAAGTTTGCATGTTCTCCCTGAGCTCGCGTGGGTTTCCTCCGGGTGCTCCGGTTTCCCCCACAGTCCAAAGACATGCTGTGCAGGTGAATTGGGTAGACTAAATCGTAGTGTACGAGTGTGTGGATGTTTGCCAGAGATGGGGTGCGGCTGCAAGGGCATCCGCTGTGTAAAAAACGTGCTGGATAAGTTGTGGGTTCATTTCGCTGTGGCAACCCCGGAATAATAAAGGACTAAGCCGACAAGAAAATGAATGAATGAATCATTTTACAATAATCTTCTTAGAAAAGTTTAACAAATTTTTTATCTTTCATAGCATGCACATTCTATTGATTTATAATGAATTGTATGTTTTTAATTAAAAATATAAAGATAAATTGTTGTCATTAAGACATTGTTGACAAATGCCAAATACATACAATTTGGCTTTGGTGAGTGAAAAAAGCTGAATACACAGAATATGGTTTAGAATTAAGCTGGATTAAGGTGGACTCACCCTGGAAGAGATACTCCTCTGTGTTCATGTCAGGATTGTCAGTGATGATATCGAAGGGCGATCGGCCCGCCATCATCTCAAACATGAGCACGCCGAGAGCCCACCAGTCCACACTGAAACCTGAGACACAATGATAGATTCACTGAACAGTCCTAGCATACATGCATACATACATACATACATACATACATACATACATACACACATACATACATACATACATACATACATGCATTCATGCATTCATGCATACAAAAATGAAATAATATTTTTTAAAATTCAAATAAAATATTTTTTATTGACTTTTGTGGCAGATCTAATAGCAGGGACAAGTTATTAATCTTAATTTTCTGTTAAGAGTGAGCAATATTGTAAATTAAATGTGAAAAGACTTTTGGTCTCTTTTACTTCCATAGATTTTTGGTCATAAGAAACAATCTTCTTATGCTGCTTGATGCAAAAATAATTAAATAAGTAAATAAATTATTAAATAAATAATCATAAGAAGTAATTAGAGTAAATTAAATAACAAAAAGTATTTAAATAAAATAAAATAAAATAAAATAAAATAACATAAAATAGTGACTGACTTTCTGATACAGTTCAGATAGCAAGGATGTGTTATTAATCTTATTTTTCAGGTACAAGTGAGTGAAACTGTAAATTAAATGTACAAAGACTTTTGTTCTCTTTTATCAGTGCTTTTAGTCATAAAAAACAATCTTGTTATGGTGCCTGTATGCCAACTAGAATTTACTTATTATTTTATTTTAATGTAAAGTCATAAACACATTGGTTTGTATTGGTTTGTAATTCCTAGTCATTTTCCCATAGCAAGCAGATGAATCAAAGTCTTGACAAAGTCACAAAAAAAGCTTACATTCACACTGCATTGAATCGATTCACTCTTACCATAATCCTCTCCCCTCAGGATCTCTGGGGCGATGTAGTTGGGCGTCCCACAGAATGTGCTGGTGGTGTCACCTGGTCTGATTCCCTCCTGTTAAAATAATAAATATATATATATATATATACAGCATGCTTTGATCCAGTCAGAAGTACAAATATCACTATAAGTATAACTAAGTGATTAGCATAAAGTTGCACCTTGCACATGCCATAGTCTGTAAGTTTGATATGGCCATCCTGGTCCAATAGTACATTGTCCAGTTTTAAATCCCGGTAAATAATGCCCTTCTCATGCAGAAAATTAAGAGCGATGCAAATTTCAGCAGCATAAAATCTGTAGGAAACAGGAAACAAAACATTTCTTTGGCATCAAAAAAAAACAAAAAAACAAAACAGAAATACACATACAAACATAAAATGTTTTATGCTTTTACCAAAGCATACATTTATTTGGTCAAAAATACAATAAAATTTTTTTTTAAAATCATAATCTAGAATCACTGTTTTCTATTTTAAGGCAGGAGGTTGCAAACAAAAAAAAATCCTGCAAATATCAATGTCAAAAAATATATTAAAAATATATATATATTGAACCGGACTTTACACAATGTTCAGATTTTGTTATTGTTGTGTAGTATATATTTGATTTAATATTGTATAAAAACATTTTGAAGCTGACTTCACACAATGTTCAGATTTTGTTAGTGTTCAAGCGCCAACATTCCGCTTTCCCTTATAAAGCTATTACAGAATAACTAAAACTGCAATTCATCGAAATCCCACTAGGCCTGGATCCAAAATAGAGCACATTCTGTTGACCCCAATGTTAAAATGGCCAACTTTATAGCAGAAAAAAAAAGTATTTACAGCCTGGAACAAAAAATTATTTTGGTGTATATAACTAATATTACACTTCATGACAACTTTGAGCGGGGTGATTCTTTATAACTCATCCCTTTTTATTTATATTAAGTGTGCATAATTAAGGGTGTTTTCACTTGAGTGACAGCCTGGTCATGCTGATCACTGTCACATCACCTCAGCTGATTCCGGCTGATTAGCAACTGAACTTGGCATTTATATCCTATTTTTGTTTTGTTTTATGTGGCTTTACACAGTCAATTGCCTTTTGGAATTATTTCTTACAATTATCAGATAATATGGCATACTGTGCAGTTAATTGTGCTTACAAACCATTCAAGTAGCCTCCATTTGCCAGGTGAGTGAAATTCTCATATACTTTTATGTAAAAATGTATTTGTATTATTTAAGAAAATGTATTATTTAGAACTTGATTGCACTCCAGAATCTGACAGATTGATAGGCTGTAGACTATAGAAGAATCATCTGAAACGTTGTCATAAAGTATTATGCCTGGATTTCCTAAATAGCCTTGCATTTACTAACACAGAAAATATTTGAAGTATTTGGCAGAAATTCATGTTTTCTTGCTGTAGATAAACATCAGAAGAACAATGTTTAGTGGCTCAATGTATTACAGCAGTGCTTTTAAAAAGACTAAACACTTTATTAATATAGTGTACAACCATGTGCATGTGGTCAGAAAACAAACAAGTCACAGGTAATGAAGTATTAAGCCTTTCTCCCAAAGGAAAGCCTGTCTAAGCAAAATGCTAGCAGGCATCTGTAGCTCCGCTCACACCCTTCCTCTTTGCCCTTTTTCGGTTATCCCCGGTTGGTGGTTGTGGCTATATACGTTTGTGGCCGGAAGTTAAAGAGAATTATTTCTATTATTTATTAACTTTCCCATTTATTGAATTTTATTAACATCTACCTCAACCCTTAACACAGGGGTGTCAAACTCAATTCCTGGAGGGCCGAAGCCCTGCACAGTTTAGTTCCAACCCTGCTCCAACACACTTACCTGTAGGTTTCAAACAAGCCTGAAGGACTCAATTAGTTTGATCAGGTGTGTTTAATTAGGGTTGGAACTAAACTGTGCAGAGCTGCGGCCCTTTCGGAACTGAGTTTGACACCTGTGACTTAACACAACCGTCACAGTAATGTAAAAACAGTAGTTGTACCGAGTATTATTTGTTATCGATTAAATTACACAATAAATTTTATTTTTTTACGCCTACTCCCACCCCAATCCTAAACCCAGACGTCAAAGTACTACAAAAATGTTAATTATTGTTATACAGCATCATAAAAAAATGCTGCTATATTATTGTGCATATCGCAGTGTTTGCTTCATGTCGGTGCGCAGCAAGGGCTCAGGAGACCTTTAGGAGCAGCTCATGAATATTTAGGCTCATTAGCCGTAATTAGCATGTGAATTTGCATATGTGTGATGCTCAGGACGCATATTGATTGGGCCGGCCGAGGTGCGCTTGACTCACCTAATTAGCCTGTGTTTGATCTCAGTTTATCAGACGTGTGAAAGGAGGCAGTACAGGGGCGCTCTGATCATCGTCCTGCTTCATATGCACAGTTATATTAGCCTAACAGAGGGGTATGAGGGCTGCATTCAAACCACAGGCCGCCAGCTTGCTTTAAATATCGGGACGGACAATTTCAAGATATTAAAGCTATGTTTTTGAAGTTTGATGCTTGATGAATGGCATGAGCTTTAATTAGAGCTTAAAACTACTGAAGAGTGCTGAAAATATTCAGTCCATCTATGAAGTCTGAGAAAAAAAGTTTCTAAAAGTTTCATTTTACGAAGACAAGAAGCAGAGTCAATTGAAACAAACACAAACGAAACAAGAAAAAGTTTTAATATTATTGTTTATAGCATTTATAATGTTCAAAAATATTTCTGTTATGAATAAATGTTGCTCCTTTGAATTATTTTTATTTATTGTATAATGTAAAAGCAGCAAATCAGCTAAATTCTATCACTTCTGAGAGATCAAGTGACACTGCAGACCCCTCACAAGAATATTTGTAGAATTAATTAAACAAAAATAATACATTTGAAAAAATTTGTTTCAAAAAGTTATTCTATTTCTTAATAATATTGTTTTTAATATAGTTTTTTAACAAATAAATGCACAATTGACCCTAAAAACATTTTTTTTTAAAGATTGCATCAACCGTAAACTAGTGTCCATTCATTTTGCTATCTGAACTATACTAATAAACTATATGGTTGATTAAATTTGATTATGTGCACTTATTAACTTTGAGTAGCAACAGTTATGAATTCCTATGATTCCATCTATTTATGTCCATACACTTATCAGGTTTAACTAGTCTTAATTACCTATTATATTGATCTTATAAAATAAAAAAAACAAATAAGTAAAAAAATAAATAAATAAAAGTAACTAGTGATTTACAATATATAAGTGGCCTTATATATGCAAGCATGTAAATACTTGCATATATAAGTAAGTATATATGCAAGTATGTCCTGTATTTGTCTACATTTTGTGGTTGTAATCAGGATGATTTTTTTTTTTATCGGACAATATAATAATATCTGTTACCGGTTTCCAAATATAAAGGCTTATCAGTTAATACATTTGTATATTTTTTCAGTTTTTTTATTAGTATAATAAATCTATATCAATATTACATTTTTCAGATGATATATCAGTCATTGGTTTCCAAATATAAAGACTTGTCACTTAATAAAATGTAAAGATTTATAATGTAATGTAATGATTCAAATCTAATGAACTGTAATGATTTTTGTATTGCATTTTTATGTAGTAAAGCTAAAAAGACTATATTATTAATTACATTTATCAGACGATATATATCAGTTATTGGTTTGCAAATATAAAGATTTATTTCTTATCACTATCAGACAAAATGTCCATATCGGTCAATTCCTGAATTAAATAAATAAATGTATCATACCTGGCATGTTCCTCTGGAAGCTTCCGCTGCCTCTGCATATGGAACATGAGATCTCCTCCATTCACATACTCGATCACTAGAAAGAGCCTGAACACACAGCAGAGACAATCATTAGAGTTTTGTTGTGTTTTTCTTTTTAGTTTCATCTCGATGGATGAGAGATATACTGTTGCTCTAGAAAGAGACTGACTACTCAAGTTCTGATTCCCTTCAATTTTCTTGTCTTTTCTTTCATCTGTGGTGGATAATTCTTAAAATTCTGCTTATTTAAACTACTTATTAAAATGAGCTAAAAAAAAACACAATTCTTCTGTTTTTTGGGGGAGAGCTTAATTGCTTTATTTTCAACCGACTTAGATTTTTTTAAAACAGTTTGGTTAACTTAATCGATTTGTGTTGGGACAACATGAAGGAATTGTGTGGAACTCAGTATTTTCACAGTGTATTATGATTTCACTCTAACTAATTCAATATAATTAAACATAATAAAACCGAACACTCCTCTTTTGGTAGACAAGAACGAACTGAGTTTTTGGCTTCATTTTCCTAATGATGAAATCAGCAGGATTATCTCAAAACTGCTCAGAAACAAGAATAAAGATGCAATCCTTGTAATGACACACTAAAAACTCTTGATATTTACTATTATTATCTGTCACTGTGGTTATAGTGCTGTTATGAGCTCACCATTGACTGATCAGTAAACAGTAGCCACAGTTACAATTTCATATTTTATGACTTTCAAAGGATCCTTTTATGCACTTAAAAAAAAAAAACCTAAATGATGGTCCAAATGATGGACTATACACAATGTGCTTATTCACTCTATAAACTTTATGACGTTATTTTGGGTCTGAAAGTCCCTCATGTAATGCATTAAATCTGTGACAGTGCATAAAATGTCAGTTTTATCAGATTATTGTTTAAGTATTCAAACTGAGACAACTGCTATAATATCATATGCAATCGATTCCAAAAAGAATCAATTCCTTGATTCCTAGGTTCGAAATACATTCCATAAGAGGAATCGACTCCTCCGTTCAGTTTAAAATAACTAATTAATAATTGTGCTTAGTTACAATTAATATCAAAAAACGACTGGAAAGTAAGTGAAACTCTTAGTTAGGAGGTATTGCAATTGAAATGATCATTCAAGCAAAGAAATGGCAAGCAGTAACAGATGACTTCAATGTAAATATAAAAAGAGATGAAAGTTGGTTCATTCAGTATATTAGCTCAGTCAGATTAATTGTATTTTCTGTTAGAAAGAATTTGGAACATAAACATAACACAAACTTTCTTTAAAATAAAATAAAAATGAACAAATGTTTTAAAAGTTTTAAAAACTATAATAAACTAAATCTACGAACAACAATCTGTCCAGGTCGGTGTCTTCAGCAGTAAATACATGGAGAACTTTGAACAAATGTTACTGTGATGAAAAATAATTAAACTAATATGATAAACGGAGTTAAAAATGACCTTTTCATTTTCAAGTATTATTGAGATGATTGGGTAAAACTTTACAATAAGCTTTGTTAGTTAATGCATTTACTAACATGAACTAATCATAAACAACACTTGTACAGCATTTATTAATAATAATTGAACATTTACTAATGCATTAGTAACATCCAAGTACGTGCTTGTTAACAATAGTTAATGCACCGTGAGTTAACATGAACTAACAATAAATGTATTGTTCATTGTTCATGTTAGTAAATGCATTAACTAACATTAACTAATAAACCTTATTGTAAAGTGTGACCGATGAGGGTTGGTGATTGTATTTTGGCCAGATTTGGTAGCAATACATAAACAAAGGAAAATTAAGACCTGTTTAAAAAAGACTTAAGACCAACAACACAATACTTCAGTAAATTTAAGACTTTTTAAGGCCAAAAATTTGGATTATGAGATTTAAGATATTTTAACCTGCAGAAACCCTGATGAAGGACAATTAAGGATTTCCATATATTAGCCAACATATTAAGTTTGCTGCTGTTGAATCTGCACATGGTATTACAAAATAGTGATTCAGCTAAAATAAAGTTTATTTAGTAACACTTTAAAATAATGGTCCATCAGTTAATGTATTAACTAACATTAACAAACTTAGTAACACATCTATAATGATATTTATTTAAGTTTGTTAACGTTGGTTAATGTTATTTAAGTTAAATAACATTAGTTCATGTTAACTCATAGTTAACTAACTAATGTTAACAAACAACTTTGGGTTTTAATAACGCATTAGTTAATACTGAACTATAATTAATAAATGCTTTACAAGATTAATTAGTTAATGTCATTAAATACATTAAAGAATGGACCATTACTCTAAAGTGTTATTGTTTATTTGATTTTACTTTTCTCATTTTCAGGTTAGATTGAAATTTAAGTTTGTTAAACCTTTGATCTAATTACCTAACTACGTTTATTCCTGGATTTTGTCCCTAAATTTAGGTAATTGCAGGAAATGGTATATAAATTGTATTACAGTTGTAAAACATTTTCCCACAGTTTGTGTGCTCTCCACTTTTCAACCCAAATTTACACCCTTGCCCTAATCATTTAGATAGAACTTTGGGTTTGGATGAACTGCCTGGAGGCATTACAAATATGGCCGCAGAGTGAACAAACTTTCTTTGAAAGGGATTTTGTTTCAGCTTACTTTCTACTGGTGGGGTTTGAATCTGAAAAAATACAACAACATTGAGGAATCAATTCTCAGTCCATCGATTCCAGGAATGGGAATCAGGATTGATTCCAAATATTTTGGGAATCGAGCAGCCCTATTATTATAGTTCTCGTCCTGCAAACAGACCTTTATAGTTGTGAATATAAATATATACTTGTCTTCTGGTGATGAAAAATTAATTAATAAAAAAAGTGCAAGTCTTATTTTTCTGTGCTTTTAAAAGAGAATAAAATATTCTCTCCTCTCACCGGCTCTCTGTCTGAAAGCAAGAGTGAAGTCCCACTAAAAATGGATTGGTCGATGCTTGTTCAAACACATGTTTTTCTGTCTGGACCCAATCGATGTCCTAAACCAGGAAAGAAAGAAAAAAATAGAGAAAGAGAGAGACATTTGATTTAACATGAATAATGAATTGCATAAAAAACATGACAACAATCTGTTTCAGTGTTTTCTAAGAACTAGAGGAGAGGACATGATGTTTCACCGCCTCTACTGGGGGACTATTGCAGGATAATGAAGAAAACAAGCCTGTGTTTTCTGAGAAAAACCTGATCTATTGATCGTTTAACAGCGGAAAACACTTGGCACTATTGCATGCTGTCACTTTGGGGAGTCAAATCTCAGAATTAAGAGTAAGTTTAAAATAAAAAAGCACCTTTCTCTTCCTCTTTAAAAAGACATGTACAGTGCAGAAAGGAAAGACAACAGAGAAAAGAGAAACAGTCAATAATCGTGTACAATATCAATAATTCCTCATGTTTCACAAGCAAGCTTACAGTTTAATTGCACAAAACCGTCCAGACAGGATGTTACAAAACATCTGCATTGAGAATGTGTTCGGGTGTGAGGACACAACGCGGTGATGTGTTGATAAAGTCAAGTATTTTTGCTCTGTCAACACTTGTGACACACTTATGATCAGCTCGGTTAGCCAACAACTTGATCTGAAAAATGATAGTGAGCGTCTTTTGAGAAGGGAAGGGTGAAATAAGAGACTTTATGATTGCTTTTCTCTCATGTCTGGAAGTTTTCATTGGCGACTAGTGTTTTTAAGCCGAGCTAATGGTGTTTCTTATCCCCCTTGTCACGTATAATGAAAGTTCAGAGGGATCCAAGTGCGAGTTAACAAAAATAATATTTATTGACAAAGTCAAAACAAAAATCAAGTAAGGAATGGTGCTAGTGCTAGGAGGGATCGGACAGGAATCAGACGGGAAAACAGGGTCCAGAAAATAGTCCTCGGATCCTACGTACACAAACAGAATAGCACACCATAAGCACACATAACGAACTGACAAAGACACACAGAAAACGTGGCTCATATATAGACCTGAATATGAGCCTCAGCTGGCGAGCTCATCAGGCCAGCTGAGTGTCGTCATCACACGTGATCAAAACAAATACACGAGGGGAACAAAAACAAACCAACGTGATCAAACAGACACTCCGGAAAAGCGCACAAACCTGCAACCGTGACATTACCCCTCTCTCAAGAGCACCTCCTGGTGCTCCCAGAAGCGCTTACCTGGCGATTGTAATCATCGATAAGAGAGTGATCCAATATGTCCTTTGCAGGCACCCAAGTTCTCTCCTCCGCACCGTAACCTTCCCAGTCCACCAAGTACTGAAATCCTCGCCCCCTCCGTCTCGAGTCCAGAATGCGCTTAACCGAATAAACGGTCTCCCCATCTACGAGACGCGGCGGGGGGGGGACCGGAGTGGGCGGGTTAATCGCCGTATGAAAAACGGGCTTTAATTTAGAAACGTGAAACACGGGATGTATTCTCCTGTACGCTGGAGGAAGTTTAAGGCGGACTGCCACCGGACTAATGATCTTGATGACAGTGAATGGGCCAATAAATTTAGGTGCAAGTTTATTACATACGGAACGCAAGGGAATATTCTTAGTTGAAAGCCACACTTTTTGACCGACGACGTAAACGGGAGGCTTCGACCGGTGGCGATCGGCTTTAGCCTTGGTGCGCGCACCCACTTGGAGGAGGGTCTGTCTGGCCCTATTCCAAGTGCGTCGACACCTCTGGACAAAGGCGTGGGCGGAGGGAACCGCGACTTCGGATTCCAGACTGGGAAAAGCTGGTGGCTGGTAACCTAAGCTACACTGAAACGGAGAAAGGCCCGTAGCCGACACTGGTAATGAATTGTGTGCGTACTCCACCCATGGGAGCTGCTGACTCCAAGAGGAGGGATTCTGGGAAACCAAACAACGTAACATGCGCTCGAGATCTTGGTTGGCCCTTTCGGTTTGTCCGTTACTCTGAGGATGAAAACCAGAAGAAAGACTTACAGTCGCTCCCAATAAATGACAGAATTCTCTCCAAAATTTAGAGACAAACTGGGGTCCCCTGTCAGAAACCACATCCGTCGGGAGGCCATGAATGCGAAAGACGTGATTAATGACAGCATCCGCTGTCTCTCTGGCTGAGGGTAATTTGGGCAGAGGAATAAAATGAGTAGCCTTCGAGAACCGGTCCACAACGGTCAAAACAGCCGTATTGCCACCAGATGGCGGGAGACCGGTGACGAAATCTAGCGAAATGTGCGACCAGGGTCTCGAAGGCACTGACAGCGGCTGAAGGAGTCCAGCGGGAGGGCGATTAGAAGTCTTAGAAACAGCACAAACAGAACAGGCCAAAACAAACTCGCGTATGTCCCGTGCCATAGCTGGCCACCAGAATCGCTGTTTAACTAAGAATAATGTACGACTCACCCCTGGATGACAAGCCACTTTGGAGGAATGTCCCCATCGAATGACGTCAGACCGAATCCCCTCCGGCACAAACAATCGACTAGGTGGGCATCCGACCGGGGGCGTTACCCCGTCCAGGGCTGTGCGGACCCTGCTCTCGATCTCCCATGTCACTGCAGAAATACAAATCCTCTGGGGAACGATGGGCTCAAGAGACGTATTGCGCTCGGAAGAATCAAAAAGACGGGATAACGCGTCGGGCTTGATGTTTTTGGAACCCGGTCGATAAGAGATGGTAAAGTCGAAACGTCCGAAAAATAATGCCCACCGAGCCTGCCTGGAGCTGAGTCGTTTGGCGGACCTGATGTATTCGAGATTCTTATGATCGGTCCAAACGATAAAGGGAACCCCCGAACCCTCCAACCAATGACGCCACTCCTCCAAAGCGAGTTTGACAGCCAACAACTCCCTATTACCAATGTCGTAGTTTCGTTCTGCGGGAGATAATCGATGAGAGAAAAACGCGCACGGATGAATTCTGTCATCCGAGGCGGCGCGCTGGGACAGGATAGCGCCCACCCCCACCTCTGACGCGTCAACCTCCACCACAAACTGCCGGGAGGGATCAGGTGTCACTAAAATGGGAGCTGAAACAAAGCGGCTCTTTAGATTGGAGAATGCAGCCTGTGCTGCGCTCGACCACCTGAAGGGAGTCTTGGAGGAGGTCAAGGAAGTCAGAGGGGCGGCGAGCTGGCTGAAATTGCGAATAAAACGCCGGTAAAAATTGGCGAAGCCCAGAAATCTCTGCAGGGCCTTACGAGACTCCGGAATTGGCCAATTTACCACAGCCTGAACCTTCTCTGGATCCATGCGCACCCCCTCGACTGACACAATGTGTCCTAGAAAGGGAACAGACTGTGCATGAAACACGCATTTCTCCGCCTTGACAAAAAGCCCATTCTCTAGCAGCCGCTGAAGCACTCGCCTGACGTGCTGCACATGTTCCTGGAGAGAACGAGAAAAAATCAGAATGTCATCCAGGTAGACATAAATAAACTGATCTATCATGTCTCGCAACACGTCATTTACGAGTGCTTGGAAAACCGCAGGAGCATTAGAAAGCCCGAACGGAAGAACACAATATTCAAAATGCCCCCTGGGGGTCAAAAACGCGGTTTTCCACTCATGACCCTGCTTCATGCGAACCAAATGATATGCGTTACGGAGATCCAATTTCGTGAAAAACGAAGCCCCCTGCAGACGCTCGAACGCTGAAGACATCAGCGGCAAAGGATACGTATTCTTCACCGTGATGCTGTTCAGCCCTCGATAGTCAATGCAGGGTCTAAGAGACCCATCCTTCTTTTTCACGAAAAAGAACCCCGCCCCCGCCGGTGAAGAAGAGGGCCGTATGATCTTGGCCGCTAGAGAATCAGAAATATATTTCTCCATGGCCTCCCTCTCAGGAATAGAAAGAGAGTATAACTTGCCTTTGGGCGGAGACGTACCTGGCAATAAATCTATAGCACAGTCATAGGGACGGTGAGGAGGCAGAGAAGCAGCTCGAGACTTACTGAACACTCTCTTCAGGTCGAGGTACTCACTGGGCACGTTTGACAGGTCCATGCGCTCCTCCTGAAACACAGAACAAGAAACAGCAGAACGAGCAGACGAAAGACAAGACTGATGACAGTTCTCACTCCACGAAAATATAGTATTAAGACCCCAGTTAATATGAGGCTTATGGAGAATTAACCAAGGATGACCTAAAACCACCGGTGTGTTGGAACAGTCTGTTAAAAAAAATGAAATGTTTTCAACATGATTTCCAGACGTGATCAGTTTTATGGGTTTAGTGGAGTGAGTGATAGTGGGAAGGGAAAGTCCGCTGAGTGCGCGTACTGCAATGGGTTGTGCCAGAGCTATAACCGGAAGTTTAAAACTGAAAGCAAAACTGGAGTCTATGAAATTTCCCTCCGCCCCGGAATCGACAAGGGCGTGGGTGTTCTGACTTCCGGAACCCCATGTTATGGTGACAGGTAGTAATGTGGCCGCCGCAGAGGATTTGTCCAAACTGATTTCACCCATCAGTAACCTCTTACCTACTGATGGGTGTTGTCTTTTACGGGACAGGAAGCCACCCGATGCCCCGCCCCCCCGCAGTAAAGGCAGAGACCCTCAGTTCTCCGACGACGCTTCTCCTGCAAGGATAAGCGGGATCTGCCCAGCTGCATGGGCTCCGGGTCAGCGCTACTCATCTCCGGCGCCACCGCCGAGACCGGAAGCTCAGGAACAGGATCCGGAAATCTGTCATGCCTCAAGCGACTCTCACGGCGGAGCAGTCTGGAATCTACCCGGATAGCCAGATCCACTAATTCGTCCAGCGTCTTAGGCAGATCTAAAGAGTAGATCTCATCCTGGAGCCGATCCGAAAGCCCATGTAGAAACATGTCCCATTGAGCCTCCGCGTTCCAACCGCTTTCAGCAGCCAACGTGCGGAACTCGATTGAATAGTCCGCCACGCTCCGATTCCCCTGGCGGAGCTCAGCAAGGACTCGGGCGGCCTCTCTCCCTGAGGCGGCCCTATCAAAGACCTTCTTGAGTTCTTTGGAGAAAAGATCGAAGGATGAACAACACGGAAGCTTTTTCTCCCAAGCTGTGGTACCCCATTGGGCTGCTCTTCCAGACAAGAGGGTGATTACGAACGCCACCTTGGACTGCTCAGATGAAAACAAGGATGGCTGCAGGGTGATGTACAGGGAGCATTTGGCCAGGAAGGACCGACACAAGTGCGGCTCTCCAGCATAACAGGTCGGAGGAGGAAGGCGAGGCTCAGCAGCGCGGCTAGCGTTAGCAATAACTGGCGCAGGTACCACCTCCGGGGCTGGTGCAGGAGCCGCTTGAGCTGCTCCAGAACCCAGCTGTTGAACCTGCGTCGTCAGCAGTGAAACCTGCTCAAC